CCATTAACCCTCCTTTTATTCTTAGCCTTCCATCTTGCCTAATTCTAACCTCTTCTTTTTATCCAAGTCAAAACTTATTAATTAAATTGTAATCATACAGCTAAAAGTTGGCTGGAAGGGTAGAAAAGCTCCCAAAATTTTCCTTAATTTCAATCCCTTATTTTACTAATCATTTCTCTAATTAATCCTCCATTGATCCATCAATTTTTCAATTAATCACTTTAGGCCCTTCGTTTAAAGATATCTTCACAACTTTTTAACTCCTTAAGTTCATAGCTAATTTAAATTAAAAGTTAAAACTTATAATTTTATGCAATTAGGTACCTAATTTCAATGCAAATAGGTCCCTAACTTTAAAATTTTATTTTATACCTTTCAAAAATTTAATTTCTCCTCATAATAAATTCAAAAAACTTCTTAAAATAATTTATCCATAATTTACATAATTTTTATACCTTTATTTAGGCCTCCAAATAAATTATTTAATGTAAAAATTACACCTTTTTGTATGAAAAATATTCCTTATACGTAGAAAAATTCATCTAAGCTTATTTAATATTCCTACACATCCTAAATGATTTTTCTATACCCTTTAAATAATTTTATTATATCTTTAAAGCACCTAAATTAATTAATTTACCTTAAAATTACTATTTGTGCATAATAAAAGACAAATAAAATATTCATAAAATATCAGAAAATTCATCCAATAACATAGAATAAACTAACACTTGTCTAGAAAATATTCTAAGCAAGCAAAATATTTTTCATGCATATACAACATGCCTAAAATAATTATTTTACACAAATATCACTATTGATGCACCATAAAATCAATAAAATATTGATTGAGCACAGGAAAACTATTTTAATAACTCTAAATATTCTTTCATCCCCTTGTAAATTATTCCATATCCTCAAGATATTTTTCATATGTCTTTAATACTTTTAATTTCATTAAATTTTAGTTTTAGTGGGTATCGGGTATTACACCCCTACTTTTAGTCCTTGTAATTTTAATTGAATACTTTTTGGTCCTTTCTTAAAAGTTTTTCTAACATCTCTATACCTCCTAAATTGTATTTCAAAACTTATTTGAAAGCTAAAGCTTTTAATTTTATGCAATTAGGTCCCTAACCTCATGCAATTCAATTCTTATGCACATAATTAATTCTACATACTTTGAAAAAATAATGTCTTTTTATAATAAATTCTTACACTCCTATAGTAATTTATTCATCAATGAAATAATTTTTATACACGTATTTAAGTACTCAAAATAATTATTTTGCATAAAAATGTACTTATTCATACATAAAATATTTACCAAGTACGTAAAAATTCACTTAAGTGCATGTAATATTCTTACATCCCTTTAGCAATTTTTTTTATGGTCATAGAAGAATTTTCAAACAAATTTAAAATACTCAAAGCAATTATTTTGCATAAAAATGTACTATTTTGTGCACGAGAAAATCCTATAAAATATTCACCGAGCACAAAAAAAATTATCCCGAGTGCATTGAATATTCTGACATCTTTCTAGCAATTATTCCATCCACGTAAAAAAAATTTGACACATGTTTAATATATATTAATTTATCTATTTTTAGATTCGGGATATTACAAGTATAACGTCCCAATCAAAATAATTCGAATAGTAGAGATTCCAACTATAGATAAAAGCCATATTTTGATGCTTTGTTGGTAACAAGTACTCTAAACTTTTATTTTATGCAATTGCAATGTAGATCTTCTCAAATGTCCATATATATTATGGATGATATGTTCTAAATAGAACCTTAAGAGATTGGTTTGATGGTGAGAAAGGTGAGGTTTCTTTCTCGACTTTATAGTTTCAAACACCGAGACGTTACTAGAGAGATTTATTAAACTCTTCTAAACGCATTAGGTTAATACAAATAGTGCATCTTTTAGATTGTTCGGATAGAAAACTTAATCTTGATACATTTATAAGGTAATCCAAAAATGCCCCGCATGGTTGAATAGAAAAAATGCTAAAAAAAAAAAATGGAATAATTTATTTATCGAGTGACTTGCTTACCCAAATAGTGCTAGTTGTTTGGAATTATTAGGGGCATCACTTATACTTGGTTAGCCAATACATTTATTGATGTTTTCAAAAGTACTTTTGTAACAAAATTTAGGAATAATTATTAGAAAAATCTTCTAAAAAAATCTATCTAAACAACCCACTAATTTATTTTTTAATTTCTCAAACGTAAAATAATATTTTTTTTATCAAAACATCTAGTCAAATGCACGACGACTCCTCGTGACATGAGACTTGTATGGGATATGAAATGCACAATAGAAAGATATATATTTTTTTAAAGCTCGGAGGCATGGAATTAAACTCGTGACGAGTCTTGGTTCAACTTATTAAAAGCCAACGTAAATTTTCATATCATGACGTAAAAATATTTCGTCAACGAAATGGGCATGTTATAACGTAAAACATTCAACGTAAATAAGGCCAACACAAGTTTTATAAAACAAAGCTTCGTTTCATAAAATATCTAGTTCATACATTGTCATGACCCCAAAAAGGCTATTTCTTAGAAACCAAAACTAGGCAATACACATTGCATGAAAAATGTCTAGACCTCGAGGTTAAAACCTATGTCTATATTATACTTTTTGGCAAACTCAAAATGCGTTCAACGAGCTTCTTAAATGCAATAACATGCTCTAGATATCGTTACGATTACCTACACTAAAAGACACAAGTCACGAGTCAAGGCTCAATAAGTGCAACTATGCATGGGTTTGTTAAACATGTTTTTGTGACGAAAATTCTTTTCTGTCTTTTCGGACATATCCCGTTGAATGTCCGATTCGACTTTCTTTTAAAATTTGATGAAAATATCATAAACTAGACATTAGATTTCATGAACTCGATGTTTTAAGCAAGCAAAGAGATTAAGTGCATATTTACGGAGAGGCCACCCGCGCGAATGATTTGGTCTATACCCAAGGTTGGTTAAAAAAAAAAGATCTTTATAGAGGGGACTAGTGAAGCGAGAGAAAGAAAAAACTTGAATGATATGTGTTTTGGTAAGAAAAATATTGTTTTGGGTTTGGAAGATTAAAAAAGTATTTTGGCAAGAAAAATGTTGCTTTATGTTTGAGAGATTTAAAATAAATTGATAGATTTTTAAGATAGAATATTTTTTAGAAGGCTTTTTGGGTAATTATCTATAGTTTAAATAAAACTATCATCTTCCAAGATATGTATTTCTATTTTAAATGACCATGTTCTATTTAATTAATGCATCAAAATATGTTGCACATTCATCTTGTAATTTAATCTAATTACTTCATAAAAGCTGTTGAGTTTTGATTAATTAAAAACTAATACTATTGGTGGTGCTTTTTTTTTCCCTATCAATATATTAAGATTTAGGAGATCACTAATATTCATAATCATATATGTATTCTTGATTTTTTTATTTGTATGATAACCGTTGGATTAAATTACAAGAGAATTATAAGAGACCTATTTCATCAACATTAATTAGTTGAATCGCATTAGTTGTTATAGTTACAATATAGTAAAAGTAATAATCCGTAGTCGATGAAACAAATTGTTGATGGAAATGAATAAAAACTCCTACATAAGGGCTTTTTTAGCATAACAAAGAAATAGTGCCCGGAGATTAGAATCTTAGTAGTCAAAGAATCTCAAATTTTTAATTCCAGTTGCAATAAGCAAACTTGAACTCAATCATGATAAAAAGAAAAAAATCAGTATCAAAGTCATTAAAAAACTATTAAATAAGTTTGTTATTAGATAACTATAAAAAAACCTCTAAAAAAGTTATTTATCTAAAAAATTCATCAAATTATTTTTTAAATCTATCAAACTTAAAATAAAAAAAATTATCTTATCAAAATATATAATAGTTAATTAGTGTTAAATTGGAAGTTATTTATTAGATATTTTGATAAGAAAAATATTGTCTCGAATTTGAAAGATTTAAAAATAAATTGAGATTTTTTTAGATAAAAGATTTTTTTAATAATTATCCTTAAAATTTATTGAGCCTTCGCCTTGTTGGTAAATGGATTCCTTTCTTGCATCATTATCTAGAGCTTCAATCATAGGAAAAAAGTTAAAACGAAACAATTGCTTATAAATCACAAAATTCATCCTAATGCACTAAAAATCTTAATGCACAAAAACGAACATTAGAATATTCTTGTAGTTATAATTAAAAAAATATTCAAAAACATCGATATTGTTCAGCATAAAAAGCAATTTGACGTCATTTGGATCCAAAAACATATTTTTTTTTTAAGAAAAAACTGTAACGCATCAAGAAGATCATAGAAATAAAACCAAAATCAAGGAAATAAATTGAAGAATAGAAAAAAAAAAAAAAAAAAAAAGAAGAAAGAAAGAAAGAAGACTTAGAAAACAGGCACAGCCAAAGCAGCCCAGTCCATACCCAACCCTAGAACGATACAAGTAGCAACTACAGACGCTACCGACCTCCCTTCTCGCTCTTTTTTTCTGTCTCTACTCAATAATCTCTCGTTCCATTTCTCGTTTTATTGCATTCACTATTTTAGAAATAAGGAAAGAAATACAAATCTCTCCCTTCTCTTCTTCACTACGCAATAATAATAATAAAAACAGTAATCATCATCATCATCATCATCATCAACTCTCAATCTTCAAACGCGCAAATTGAATCTTAGTTTCTTCATCATAGTCTCAAGTAAGCCTTCTGTCTCTCGCTAATCACAATTTTTACCATTTAACTTTTGTTAATTCGGATCTGATTATTTATTTTTACACGTGAATCATTTTCCTTCTGATTCTCATAGAAGCACGTGTTTGTTTATTTATTTTTTATTGTTTATCAGCTAGTATTAATGTGATTATTTATTTGTTTTTTTAATTCTGAAATTATGGTTATATAGGAGATAATCGGGTGTTTATTTTTGAGGGAGGGTAATTCGTCGAATTATCGATGGGTAGAAAGAAGCCAGCCGCACGCGATGATGAGGCCGTGGCTGTGGGTGGCGGAGGGAAGTCGAAGAAGAAGGGGTTGGTGATTGATGATGATGAGTATTCGGTTGGTACTGAATTGTCAGAGGAGACGCAAGTTCAAGAGGAGAAGGTTGCGATTACTGGGAAGAAGGGTAAGAAGGGAAATCAGAAGGGTTTTAAGGAAGAGGAAGGGGATGACGAGGAGGAAGTGCCGGAGGTTGTGTTTGCTGGGAAAAAGAAGTCGAAAGGGAAGAAGAGTGGTGCTGGGGGGAATACTGGTTTTTCTTCTTCGAATTTTGGTTTATTGGGTGATGAGGATGGTGGCGGCGGCGGTGGTGATGGTGATGATGATGAGAACTCGCAGTTGACTGGTGGGAAAGATAGTGAGGAGGAGGATGAGCCGGTGGTGAGTTTTAAAGGGAAGAAAAAGGGTAAGGGGAATCAGAAGAGTGGTGGTGGTAGTTTGTTTAGTGTGTCGGCTTTTGATGCTATTGACGATGGTGAGAATGATGGAGAGGTGGTGGATAAAGAAGAGGATGATGATGATGATGTGCCTGCTATTGCATTTACAGGGAAGAAAAAGAAGTCATCTAAGGGTGATAAGAAGGGTGCTGGGAGTGTGTTTTCAGCAGTGAGTTTTGATGAGTTAGAAGAGAATGAGGATGAGGATGAGGATGTTGGTGCAATTACTTTTTTCGGTAAGAAGAAGAAGTCGTCCAAATCTAACAAAAAGAGTGGTGATAGTAAGTTTAGTGTGGCATTGGTTGACGAGGAGAATGAAGAAGACGCTTCTGTGTCTGAATCATTGAAAGCTAGTGATGATGTGGTTGGCATTGAGGATGAAAATGAGTCAGCGATTGCATTTACAGGTAAGAAGAAGAAGTCTTCTAAGAAGAAGGGGACTAGTAATAGTGTTTTTGCTTCTTTGGGTGATGAGGATGAGGGAGAAGTTGCTGAGATGGTTGTACCTGAAGCATCTAATATTGTTGAAGTTAATGATACCAAGGTTACTACGAGCGAAGAGGTGGCAGAGACTTCAAAGAATAAGAAGAAGAAGAAGAATAAGAGTGGAAGGACTGCTCAAGAGGAGGATGATTTGGATAAGATTCTTGCGGAGCTTGGTGATGTGCCACCTAATTCGAAATTCTCAGCATCACCTCCACAAGAGGAGAAACCCAATCTTCAGCCTGAATCAGTTGTAGTGCCAGATGCTGTGGTTGAGAAGGAGGGTGAAGAAGAAAAAGAAGAATCTGCTGCTGCAAAGAAGAAGAAGAAGAAGAAAGGGAAGGAGAAAGAGAAGAAGGCAGCTGCTGCAGTGGCAAAGGAAGAAAAACTTGAAGAAGCAAAAGCTGAAACAAGTGATCCAAAAAAGACCGATGCAAAGAGTAAAGCTGCTGAGAAGAAGCTTCCGAAGCATGTTAGAGAGATGCAAGAGGCACTTGCTAGGCGAAAAGAAATGGAGGAGAGAAAAGCGAGGGAGGAAGAGGAGAAGAGGAGGAAGGAAGAAGAGGAAAGGCTAAGGCAAGAAGAACTTGAGAGGCAAGCAGAAGAGGCTAGGCGTAGGAAGAAGGAAAGGGAAAAGGAGAAACTCTTGAAAAAGAAACAGGAAGGGAAGCTTCTAACAGGGAAGCAGAAGGAAGAACAACGGCGGCTAGAGGCTATGAGGAATCAAATACTTGCGAATGCAAATGTTACCGCTCCTAATGCAGACAGAGATGGTGCACCTACAAGAAGACCCAAGTACCAGACTAAGAAGTCAAGAGCAGCTCACCATCAAGCAAATGGTATCAGGATAGAGGAACCTGTTGAAGTTAAAGAAAAAGAGCAAGAGGAGCAGGAAGAAGAGCATGAGGTGGAATCCGTAGAATTAGAGAAGTTTGAGCCAGTGGAGGAAGATAAAACAGAAGTTGCTAGTGTACCTGAGGAGAATGGAATGGAGGAAGAAGAGGACGATGAGGAATGGGATGCAAAGAGCTGGGATGATGTAAATCTTAATGTTAAGGGTGCATTTGATGATGAGGAGGATTCTGAGCCTGAACCTGTCTTGAAGAAGCAAACAAAGAGTTCTGTTCCAGCTTCTCGCAGTGCAGGTACTAGCTTTTGCTTGATTTTCCTGTTGGATTATCAAGTTTTATGGTCTCTTAACCATTTTCCTTTGTTTCTGATTGTTAATTAATTTTTTTTCCTTTGTATCTTACACTATTGGAGTTCCTCCTGCAGCTGCTAAGCCTGAAAAACCTGTTACATCACAGTCAATGAACTCTCAAGATGTTGAAAATAGGAAAAGTCAGGCTGAGGTTGAAGTTTCCGACAAAAACAGGAAGAAAAATAAAGGAGCAGTTTCAGATGTCATTGCTAAACAGGGTGAAGAGACCCTGCGCTCTCCAATTTGCTGTATTATGGGCCATGTTGATACTGGTAAAACCAAGCTGTTGGATTGTATTCGAGGCACCAATGTTCAGGAAGGGGAGGCTGGGGGTATCACACAACAGATTGGTGCAACATACTTTCCTGCTGAGAACATACGGGAGAGAACTAAGGAATTGAAAGCTGATGCAAAATTAAATGTTCCTGGTCTGTTGGTTATTGATACGCCTGGCCATGAATCTTTCACTAATCTACGGTCACGCGGTTCAGGTTTATGTGACATTGCCATTCTGGTTGTTGACATTATGCATGGTTTGGAGCCGCAAACCATAGAATCGCTCAATCTTTTGAGGATGAGGAATACAGAGTTCATTGTTGCATTAAATAAGGTTCTTTCTTTTTTATTTTCAATTTGATATAGAGTTAATGCTTTAATCTTCCCTTCGATTGATGCTAGGTTCTGTTTCTTTATCTTTTTAATTTTTCAGGTGGACAGGCTCTATGCATGGAAAACACAACGTAATGCACCTATTCGGAAGGCGTTGAAGCTGCAGTCAAAAGATGTGCAAAATGAATTCGACAGGAGGCTCACAGAGGTCATCTACTTTTGCTTCCTTCGAACGGTTTTATCAGTTTGTTCCTTTTTCTAAATGTTTTCTTTTTCTCCTGGATCCCAGGTCATAACTCAGTTCAAGGAGCAAGGATTAAATACTGAATTGTACTATAAAAACAAGGACATGGGAGAAACTTTTAATATAGTACCTACAAGTGCAATTAGGTAAGCCCTAGATTTCCTAGTGCTCCCTCCCATAACTAGGCTGAGCCTCATTGGCTTTAAAATCTACCATGTTTTTGCCCCTTGCATTCATTGTGCTAATTCTTTAGTTTTCTATATGTTATAGTGGAGAAGGCATTCCTGATTTATTATTGCTACTGATCCAATGGTCTCAGAAAACTATGGTTGAGAAACTCACGTTCAGAAATGAAGTGCAGGCATGTTTTCTCTTTTACCATATCTTAGAAAGCAGAATGCTTTAGGATAAAACAAATATCTGATTGCTATTTGGTACATTTGCCAGTGTACGGTGTTGGAGGTTAAGGTTATTGAAGGCCATGGAACAACAATTGATGTTGTGTTGGTTAACGGTGTGCTCCATGAAGGCGATCAAATTGTGGTTTGCGGCTTACAGGCAAGCTTGAAAATTTCTTTTTCCTGACGATTTGATGACGTCCTAGTTTCTGAGCTGTTGATAATTTATTTTGTTTCACAGGGTCCCATTGTTACCACAATTCGAGCTCTGCTGACACCCCACCCGATGAAGGAACTCCGAGTTAAGGTGTGGTTTTTTTAACCTTTTCCCCCCTTTTTTTTATTTTCTATCCATAGTTCTTATGTTGAATATGCTTGATCTGGGATCGATTTGTTTGCAAGAAATTTATTTGGGCTTAACCCATCTTTTCATTCTGTGTGTTTTTAATGTGGTAATCCCTGATGACTATCTTGTTCACCATCGCTAATATCTGACATGGAAGTTAAACATGGACTGAAATCACAAGCATGAAGTGAGTGGGTCCCACAATCACCTGACTAAAATTTTAGGTGTTTAATTAGTTTTCTGACATGTATAGTACTAGCCCGTGTTGTTGCTAGAATTAAAACTAATTATGGCATCATGATATGTTGTTTTGACTCTTCATTCTTTCCTTTAAGAGTACCCGCTTTGACATGGTAGATACATGGGTTCTCGATTCTGTGAACTGATTCCTAGCGTTTGGCGAGACTGATTTTTGGAGGAGAAGATTAAGTGCTCAAATAACAGGAAAGGATATATGCTTGCTTGTTAGTTCAACAAGCAAAGCAAATACTTGTAGCTTCATCATCATCAGCAGTCCAAAAAATAACTAGATTATATAGCTATTTATGAACCGGGGCAATAAACTTAATGCAGAGCTTTCAAAACTTTTAGGAACTCTAGACTTGAGTCATGTCACCAATATACACTTGTTTTAGCAAGTAGATGGAGAAATAGTATGGTTCTACCCTAACTTATAGATTCGTGCATAACTCATAAAGTAGAATTCCAATTTGGAAAGAACTGATTGAGCACTGTATTAGTGAGTGCCTTATCCAGAAAACCATATAAATGATGATCATTGAAATTTGTGTCCAGGGCTCCATTGAAGAAAATGCCTAAGGAAGTAAAAGTGAAAATTAGGTGAACTAAGGCACTAAGATTTCTTTGTGGCATCTCATGATATAATCAAAGGGTCTCATTAGCTACCTTTCTTTTATTACTTTTTATGATTTTACTCTTCTAGTGTTGTTTGTGACATCTGCTTGTTTGCTATACTACACAATAATGACTTGCTACAACAATTTTTTCAATTTGGTTTCTGGAGAACTCTCTCAATGAATTTTGTTTCTTATAATCTACACATACTTGTTTGTTAATTCTTTATTCTGCATATATTTTCCCCCTTTGGTGGTTCTGAATAGATGCTATGTACCCTATTAAGAGAAAGGAAATGTTGGCTGGCACGAATTTCTTTCCACATAAATGGCCTGAAATTTGTGCCAGACGTTGGCCATGTGGGGCGTACTTTTGGACCCTACAAGATCAACAGCTGGCATGAATTCGTGCCACATAGCACTACTCTTAAGAGAAAAACAAAGTCCTAGTATGTGAACATGGAAGTAATCAAGATGCCTTTTGCTTAATATTTGTTTCTTTGGGAAATGATCTATTGAATCGGTACAAGACTTGTTTGAGACAGTCTTTCAATGTATGCTATTTCTTAGTTACCATGTTCTTTTTCCATATTTGTTGTTCCCAGAATGGTTCACGGTTATTTTTACTTCATTGCTTAAGTGCTTCAAAATAACTGATATTCTTTGGTTTGGCTTTACTAAATTGTGGGTGGTGGCTGGGATCCTTGTATTAAGCTTTTGGTTTACATGATCAGATTTCAGAGCAGCAAACCCTCCTCTCAAATTCATTTGTTTTTATTTATTCTACTTTTCTGTGAATGAGTAAATGCGTTGATGGGTTAGTTACTAACTCAGTATTTTCCCCCTTTTTTTTTAAAAAAAACTTTCAGGGGACATATCTGCACCATAAGGAAATCAAGGCTGCACAGGGTATCAAGATCACTGGACAGGTGATTGTAATTTGCAAAACATAGCAATAATAAGTAATCATCTAATGCACATGCATAGCACATGCCTCCATATAGTTTTTTAAATATTCATAACTCCTGTTGGTAAACTTTCTGGGTTTCTTTCTTGCATTATCATTTTATGCAGGGCCTTGAACATGCTATTGCTGGAACTGGTCTATATGTGGTCGGGCGTGACGATGATTTGGAAGATGTCAAGGAATCTGCAATGGAAGACATGAAGTCTGTCATGAGTCGGATCGATAAAAGTGGCGAGGGAGTTTATGTACAAGCATCTACCCTCGGTTCATTGGAAGCGTTGCTGGAGTTCTTGAAGTCCCCGGCAGTAAGCATTCCTGTTAGTGGTATAGGCATCGGCCCAGTGCATAAAAAGGATGTCATGAAGGCCAGTGTAATGCTTGAGAAGAAAAAGGAGTATGCCACCATTTTGGCATTTGATGTTAAAGTGACACCTGAGGCTCGGGAACTTGCAGATGAACTAGGGGTGAAGATTTTCATTGCTGATATCATTTATCACTTGTTTGATCAATTCAAGGCTTACATTCAGAATCTGAAGGAGGAAAAGAAGAGGGAAGCTGCTGATGAAGCTGTTTTCCCATGTGTTCTTGAGATAATACCAGAGTGCATTTTCAACAAGAAAGATCCAATCATCTTGGGGGTTGATGTACTTGAGGGCATACTCAAGGTATAACAATATTCCAAGTCATTTTGTTTTGTTTCCACTATTTCATCCAGGCATACATTGGTGAATTACTGGTTTCATTTGTGCATGACATGGGCATAGCCATGGTGTGGTGTCTTAGCTACAGTATATATGAGATCTAGCCAGGGTTAGTATCAGATAAAGCAGGCTCCTCCAGGGTCTCATCAGGGAGCCTCTTATTTTTTTTATTTTTTTTTCTTTTTCACATGAATGCACTCTATGAAATTGCACAGAGGTCTTTCTTTTTCCTGGACAATGTTGCATGGCTTTGCTTTATCCTAAATCAAATGATGAATGGATCATTTTTAGCATATTTAATTGACACAATCCTGTCACTTGGGAATTAATCTATGGCAATACTGTGATTTTGGGGACTAGCACTTGATTAACTGCTGGGAGTTTCATGGCCTTTGGTATTTCTGCATAGCAATTTTATTCTTTTGGTGTTGCATTAGCTTCTATGATAGCAATACCTTCTTGCTTATACCCAATCCATTTAACATGTAATCCTACTAATAGATAGAGTTCAACTGGGGTAATATGATTGAATTCTCGCATTTCATTGACAGATCTAATTGAGTCATTGAAATATTTAACTCTGTTGTTTGAATGTGTTAGTACATATGCTTTTTGCGGTTCTTGGTTTCCTAGTAGTACTTCGAACCAAGAAGGTTTCTGAAGTATCTACAGAATGCCAAGATGATGGCCTTTTTGGATGTTGGGCATGGAATAATTTCAGAGATCAAAGCTGTTAGTAAGGTTTTGAAGAAGTGTGCATGTACTTGGCTGCAAGTTTTTCTACCTATATGTGATGCAACTGTCCAAATAATGTAGATACTCCCTATTTGGAAAACAATTTAAATTGATGCAGGTTGCATTCATGTGTGGAAATACTCAATACTTTGTTGTGTATCTTTACATAAATGCAACAGACTCTAGAATCGATCCTTCAAGTGTGTGTAAATTCTTTTTAAAATTTGTGGGTTATGAGCTCTTTAACTTTTTGGTCAGGGTAGCCCATTTATTTTTGATTAATTGTGCTCTAGCTATCATCATTTTAAGCTATGATATGGTGTAGAACTCAATAAATGCGGTGTGAGCAATTTCCTGGAACTTTCTTTTTAGGCTACTGTTACTCTGTTCACCTTCCTCTCACCTCAAATTCTTGATGTTTGTGCACTTACATGGCCCAAGGTACTTTAAATATGGTTAATTTGAGACATTATTGTTGGTGGAAACTATATCACTAAGTTCGCCGTGTTTAAAGATATATGTGGGTACTGTTTAGAGGTTTTGGGTGAAGTCTGCTTTGCTTACATGAATTTTGACATAAGCTATAAATTTGGCTATGTAAACATACATCTTTTCTGTTCTGTTAGGGTTTACATGCTTTAGTTTCCTCTGATACTTTGTGCTCTTTTACACAGGTCGGGACTCCAATTTGTGTTCCACAAAAAGAATTTATTGACATTGGTCGGATTGCTTCCATTGAATTTAACAAGAAAGCAGTGGATTATGCAAAGAAAGGCCAGAAGGTGGCCATTAAGGTATGGTACATTATTGTCGATTGATTGAAATTACCAGTTTGCAGCATAAATTTCATGATGGAAATTTTATATTTTAGTTCTGTTAAATAATATTCAAGACATTCTTGGTTTAACTGAATGATATAATCGGTTGATAATATACAGACATGAATAGTTTTATTTTACTTCTTGCAATATAACTCTGGGAAATGGATGAGCTATAATTTCCCCAGTTGAATTGTAAATAAAGTAATTTTGATGTAGTTCATAAATTACTCCTTGAGAATTTGAAAGGAAAATTTGCAAGGAGAGGGCTAAAGAATACAGAATAAATAAGTGAAAGGAGGACCTTTCCTCATGCCATATAATTTGTTAGATATTCAATTATTAGTTGTGAGCAGTGACATTATGATGCAGTTACATGAATTCGTCATATAAGCTTTCCTTGGGCTCAGATTATAGAACTGACTGCAGAATGTATATAATTCAATAAGAGAGGTCTCAGTTTTTTCCTTTGATTTTAAAAACTGAAAGCATGTATCAGTCCACAAGATTAAAGGATAGAACCATGACAGAAAAAACTGTTGGATTATTGTTTAGGTGTAGTAGAAAAAATCTGTTAAAACTATAGATTCAAGCTTTGTTTTTTGCATATCATTCCTTCAAAAAATAAAGGAAAAAATTATGAGCATTTTGCTCAAGCTTGTCCATTTTGAATGCTAACTACTATGTGTGGGTCACCTGGAATTTGCTACTGAACGAATTAACTTTAATTGTCTCTTTAAGAAGTATAAGCAAATACAATAAACTCTTCTTTACTAATAATATCAAACTAATTTTCCTAATTATCATCTTCATTGGCAACCAAAAAGACCTTGCACCACACTTGCACTTTTTGTTAAGGGAAGTAAGAAGGATGGATGAAAGAGGGGAGATCGGATGCTTCCTTTGTTTGGCTGGGTGGATGGAGACCGCCATAGGAAGGGAAGGATCCCTCCTGTCATTCCTAAAATGTAATTTGCTGCCCAACAAACCCCCCCACGCACCACCCCCACCCCCACCCCACACACACACACACACACACACACACACACACACACACACACACACACCCAAACAAAAAAAGAAACTCTTACATGCAAGAGAGTTGTTAAACTTAATAATACTACAAGTGAATTTTGTTTTTCACGACATTTTTGCTCATCATAAGAGTTGATCTTATTTGGTGCTCCTTTGTGATTTTGAAGATTGTGGGTGCCAATGCGGAGGAGCAGCAAAAAATGCACGGCAGACATTTTGATAATGATGATCAACTAGTCAGCCACATTACAAGGAGGTCAATTGATATTCTTAAAGCTAATTATCGGGTAGGTTTTATTCAATTCTGGATACAGCTATATTTCATTCAATGCTAATACCTTAGATCGACTGTAATTTCTAATCATCATTTTTTGTGTGCGTAGGATGATCTGTCTATTGAAGATTGGAGGCTGGTTGTGAAATTGAAGACCCTTTTCAAGATACAGTAAACGTAAAGTAGCGTGATGGTTTAGTCTGTGTTTGCAAGCACTTTGAAGGGGCTTTATCAAGGATGAGGAGAGTCTCACGTAAACATGCGAAGGTTTTGTTTTGGGCGTTAAGGCTTTGATTTTGAAACCATAAGTTCCATGACAGGCATAGATGAGATTTATTTGTCAGAGGGAAGGAAAGCAGATCCCCCAAATTCTGTGGCATGAGCGAGCCCTACGTACAATGATAGAATTTTTTAGATCATGTTAATTCTGTTGGGGTACACCAGCTCAATATAAGAGAAGCTATATTGGTGGTGTCTAGCTGATTTTCAAAGTTGCTGGTCAAAGAGATGCCTTTTTCGTTTCCTGGGAATGCTCAAGGGTTAAATTAACAGGTTCTTTTTCTGATGTATTGAGGTGGAAGTGTCAGGTCTTTGCTTGCCATTGCTATAAATCAAAGTTCTTTTATCTAGGAACGAGGAACAGTGTTGTGTCTTCTCTGAGACGTGGATACTTTGATGAGTCCTGTATCTTTATAAGGTAACAATGCAATTTTGTTATGTTGATGTCAGTTCATAAAGGATCAGAATTTTCTTGCTCGTATCATCCTCCATTTTATACCTTAACATAGAGAAAGAAAGAAGATTTAAAGCTTCTGGTTTTCTTCAGTGGAACAAGCCCAAGCACATCGATCTAGTATTGACCCAACCATAAAAGGGCTCCAATAAGTGAAGATGGCAATTGACGTTCGACAAGGCTTTAAATGCGATGCAGTAGAATGGTATGCTTGTGATAGAGAATTAGTAGAAATGTATCTGTTTTCTCAATATAAAATGTCAAACGGAGACGGAAATTGAATCGGGCCTACCCGAAATTCAAAGTCCGTAAAAACAACAGGAAGCCCAATGGATATACGGTTATGAATCAAAATTTTGGGAAAAATAAGTGATCAAGTAATCGTTAAATAAAGATCATGGCAAATTTTAAAATGATTTGAAGCTACATCAACTCTTTATTTGGATCTTAATGATAATGGTATTTTTGAGTCAATTTTTTGCATATTGATTTTTTAATTAGATTTTAAGCAAATCATTTACGTTCGAACTCATGATTCGTTTAAAAAATATAGTTTTTTGCATTCACTTTTCGGATTCAAAAATCTCAAATAATACTGTAAGAAATATTTTCATTTGTCAATCAAACTAAACTTTTATCAACTTTAATAAATAATTTTGAGTGATTTATGTATGTTCTTAAAAATTATTTACACCGTAATTTATTGTCAAAATTGATACTATTTATATTTTATTTTTAAATAAACAATATAAAATATATATTTTTGAAAATGCTAATAACGAATAGATACTCGAACTAATATGTTAGGTAAACTATTCACACCAAACTAGTGTATCTACGAAATTAGGCAGTTGATTAAAAAAATGGGACACACACCCGTCATCGAATGGCCTGATTGTAAATTACCAAAAGAGCAATGCACATTTTTGTCATTCAAAATTTCTCAAGTTTCCCGCCATCCAAACCCACAAATTAATAAACTCTCCCGCCCAAAACCCGCCACCACGTAAATAAATAAATAAATACCCCTGCACCGCCGCCAAAGAAGAATTTCCTTTCCCTTCCTTTCACCTCGGGCGAGAAACAGATAACAGATCGAAAACAGAAAATGAGCACCGTTCGAAAACTAATACAAAAGAAATTCAAAATAAGAGGCTACACTCTCAAAATCGACGCTCTAGATCAAATCCTCTCCTTCACCAACCGCTTTGTCGGCGCCGAAGATGAAGCTCTCGATCTCCTCCTCGATCACCTACAATCCCAATCTCGTAATTAAAACTAATCCTAATCTCAATTATCTAATTACGTTAGACTAGTTGATGTTTTAGTAATTACTGTTTCTTTTTTTTTTAGAGAGATTGGGAGTGAAATCTTCGATACTTGATAGAGAGCCGGTGAGTCGTGTTATAACTGCTTTATTAGAAGCCGATGATGCTGTTGAAGAAGACTCGTTAGAGAAGGATCCCTTTTCTAGCTCGAATTCTTCTGCTATTCGTGTTATTGATGCTTTTTTGATACCTAAATTTCGATATGATCCAATCAAAAAGCAGTTTCACGAGTAAGTCAAATTTCATCTTCTATTGTTAGTTTTAAGTTTCATTTTTGGTCACTGTTTGTAATTTTGATATTATTATTGGATTATTTTTTATTAATTAATTGCCTAACCAATTATTCAATTAATTGTTACGGTGCTCTGTTTAAGATCCGAGTATTAATTAGTGAAATTTTGATTTTAATTTTCACTTTTTTGTAGGAATTAAACCACAATATAATTACAGTTGAAAAATGTTATCTGTATTGCTATATATATTGCTGTTCTGGGGAAATTTATTGAATTTTTTGGTCACTGTAGGCATACAGGAGGGTTACATATACATGGCGATTCATCAGCAAAAGCAGCTCTTTATAAAGATAGGTTTTTATTATTGTATCAACGAGTTTTACGCGATTCACATTTTTCCAAGCCTGCTTTTGCTACTGAGATGTCACATTATGGAAGTTGTGAGGTGGGTGCACAGTCTCTATTTATCTTAAACGTCTACTCGCGTACTTTTGAAGTTCTATTGTGATGTGTTTTTTTTTTTAATTGTACGTGCTGCAGATAGCTCCGATTCAGTCTCTAGTTGGGCAAATGGGGAGAAGATGGGTGATGGGTGTGATATCTCAGTTGGAGGATGGACATTTTTATTTGGAAGATCTTACTGCTTCTGTGGAAATTGACTTGTCTAAAGCAATATCCTTTGAACTTCCCTTTTTTTATTTTCATAATTTATTATCCTTAACTTGGTACTAAAATCCAGCCCCTGTACCGTCCTGTATGCTTATGACTTGCATGGCATGCTTAAAGAGGGCATCACGTGCAATTACTTTTAGTTGTATTCTACATGGTTACATTTAAATTGAATTTTCTGGGATTCTTCTTATTTTTGGTCTTGATGATTATTGTATCATCTCGCAGTTCATATATGTGAGTTCTTGCTTTTCCATGAATGACTTTAAAGCAATGGAAAGACTAATCTCTTCTTTAAAACATCTGAAATCATGGGAGCATATGTTTGAGATTTTGCGTTCTAAGACTCTAGGGCAGGACTTGCTAGTTTATAGTTTATTTTTCCATTGGAACATATGAAATTTAGCTGCTCTGAAAACAGTCACATAAACTATATGAAATGTTGATTTCCTTGACAAGTAATACAAAGTAACTACAGGATTTTTATCAGAGAATACAATTGTTGTTGCAGAAGGTGAGATGCTCTTGAGTGGTATTTTTCAGGTTAGTTCTAATTTTCCTCTTTAATCCATGCCTTCACTTGACCTGGTTATATCTGTTTTTTTCATTCTCTGAAGATTTCCTTATGCTTTAGGTCCTTTTCAATATTGGAACATAATCATATGTTAGAATGCTCACTCATTCTATGTTAGAAGGGCTTTTGCCAAAAATTGGTTGTTGGTTCCATAACTGCATTTGAACAATTCTCCTCTTTATTTTGACTTGAAATATCTTTGGAAGCAATTAGATCAGCGCCAGATTGCATCCTTATGTGTGTATTGGCATTTGTACAATCTGCTGTTGGTGCAGTAGTTTATGTTATCTGAAAAATTAAGATTAGTCGACTACAACTCCTGAATTTTCTTCTTGTACTCTGAATCGAACTCTTCAGCCATTGTTGGTTTGGTATAATTCCTGTAAGGCCTCATATTGGCATCTTAATTTCTTTAGAGGAAAGTCTTTTAAATGCACAGGTTGTCTATCTACCCTACTGTTTCATTGAATAAAATACCATGAAACCCGCGCCATGAATCCCCCTTTTTTTTTCCTCTTTGTGGGGCTATTCCTTTTGGTACTTTACATAACATGTTGGCTACTTATGTTTCTTAACAGCACGATCTATGTGGCTTTCCTTTTTCAACAGTTGTAATTCTGAATTTATCATTGCTAATTATATGGTTTGTGGATCCAGTCATATGATGTTCTGATGTGTGCTATATCTTTTAAAATGTAAACATGCTCGAACTTTATTCTCATTACAATGGAAATTGGCATTTGAGTACTATAAAGATAACCAAAAAAAGGGTAGAAGTTAATTATGAATCTGTGCATCAGACTCAGGAGGTGTACATGTCTCATGTCCGCAAACAATGATACACCAATTTATTCAATATAATTGAATTGTATAATCTCTGATATATTGGGTGCTTCTTTCCATGGAAAATTGGTGTATCACCTGTTTGCCACTAGTTTTGACACAGTTTCTACGCAGTCTTTGCTTCTGCAGATGTTAGGTTCTGTATCCTCTAGAACTTGTTGATTCACATTATATTTTGTCTGTGATTAACTTTTCGCTCCACTGTGGTGAAGGTAATCACTTGTGGGTTTCCTCCATTAGAGGACAGGGACAAGTCTCTCAAATCACTTGCACAGCATGATTTCTTTGGCGGTGGTACATTAACGAAAGAGGAGAATGTATCCTTAATTAAGCTTGCACTCTTTCAGATTACAGAGGAGATATTATTCATGGTTTTGAAATTTCTAGCAGTAGCTTTAAACTATCTTAATTGATAGTGCTATTCCTATATACTTCAATAGCTCAGACTAGCAGAGTTGGAAAAGAGATCTCTAAATGACATGTTTGTCATACTCTCTGACATTTGGCTAGACAGTGAAGAGGTGATTCATTGTCTTTGAAATATGTATTTTTGCTATGTTTGTTCAGATATGTGTATGTATGCTGTTTGGGGGAAGTGTATTTTCTTGGTAGATCAGCTAAATCATAAAATGTCTTTGTCCTTAGAGAAGGCTATGGGAAAGCTGGAGACGGTTCTTGATGGTTTCGAGAGTCAAGAGGTGGTCCCTTCCTTATTTGTTTTTATGGGGAATTTCAGTTCTCATCCATGCAACCTTTCCTTTCACTCATACTCAAGCCTTAGGTGAGTGATCTTTATACAAGAATAGTTATGTGGTTCTCATCATTGTTACTTTCTTAAACAAATTATGTTGTTGTGACAAATGGAACAAAATGCCACTCAAACATGCAGATCACAATTTGGTAAGCTAGGGCAAATGATTGGAGCCCATCAACGGCTGAAAGAGCATAGTCGATTTCTGTTTATTCCAGGTCCAGAGGATGCAGGTATATTAAAATGCTGATAGCGTGCTTCTTTAAATCCTTTCTCATATAGTCTTACATAACATAAGAGTGATCAACATTTTGACTTATTTCAGGTCCATCCACAGTTCTACCCAGATGTCCTTTACCAAAGTATCTAACCGAAGAGCTTCAGAATCACATTCCTAATGCCATATTTGCGAGTAATCCATGCAGGTTAATCTTTCTTACCACTAAATAGTTAAAACACTAACAAAGATAAACATGCTATCTCCATAGCACGCCCTCCCAAGATCCACCTTCTTTATTGATTTTCAATTATTTTTTACCTTGAATTTTCAGCACCATTTAACTGTAAAAGCATGAGGGTAGATTTCTTTTGAGCAAATTTTTAATAGAAATTAGGGTGCATAATGTGCCGTTCCTATATAAGCTGACAAGTGCTTAATACTTTAACACTACTGTGCTTTTCATTTAACTGCAGAATCAAGTTCTGTACCCAAGAAATTGTTTTCTTTCGTCACGATCTGCTGTATAGGATGCGTCGTTCATGTCTGCTGCCTCCTTCTACAGAAGAGACTGATGATCCTTTTGAGCATGTATTTTTTTCTCTCACCTCCCGACATTGTCTGTGTCAAACATCATGCTGATATTATGTCTTGAGAATCTTCATCAATGAAACTAATAAGCTTTGACTTCTTTGTGGCAGCTTGTTGCTACGATAACCCATCAAAGTCATCTATGCCCACTGCCTCTTATTGTTCAACCGATTATTTGGAATTATGATCACTGTCTACATCTTTATCCATCTCCACATACGGTATGCTCATGTCTTTTTAATGTTTTCTTTGTCGTTCCCATTTACCATTCTCTTAACCCTTTTTTTTTAGGCAATGTTATAATATTAATTTCGAGAGAAAGGCCTTTTTGTTATCCAACTTTTGGATTTTTTTGTTTTATCCAATTATCAATTTCTAATGATTTGCTATACAAGTTTTGATTTTTTGTTTGTTTTGGTATCTGATTTCACCTGAGATTTAATTTTGTTGAAGTGTCCGATGAGAACTATCACATGATAGTCAAAACGTATCACACGACGATTAACTCTAGACACGTCGGTATTCCATGCTTTAAGTTGGATGTGGATACTCAAATAGAAAAAAAAAATCGAAGGTTAGATATTAAAATAAATAAAAAATTTAAAGATTGGGCACCAAAAAAGTAGTTTTTTCAAGAAATTTATTGTCTCAAGATTGTAAAATTTGTCCAATTTTTAATAAATATTTTTATATCGTACTCGTATTGCTTTTTTACTTACCAAATGTATTTTTTTCATATTATGTAGTAGTTAAAATTTATTTTTAAAAATTCTAAACTTATTTAGCTATTTAGATAAATTTAATATTATGTCATTTAATCTAAATATATATAAAGTTCAATTAAGAGTAAATCTAGAAAAATAAAACACAAGGTTCAATTATGATTGTCATATGCGAAATAAATAGTTGGTCAATGGAAAAATTTACAAAAAATAAAAAATTGCTTATTCTGTTTAGGAAAAAGATCGACTAACATATAATGGGCGATATAAGCTTTTAATAACTAATGACTTGCTAAACTTTTTATAGTAGAGTGAGATATAATAGAATTGAGATGAATAAATTTAGTAATCAAGTTTTTTGATGTGAACATTTAAAGTGTAATACTTTTGGTAGCGATGATAATAGTGATAGAGTCCATAAATAAAATATGAATTAAGTTAAGAAGTGAATGCATTGTTAAAATTGCTCGTGCAATTAACATAATAACAAGAAAATATACATGTATGTAATTACCGATGTTTTTAGAATTTAAAATTATATGATTTTTATTATTTTTTTAAAAAATTTTGATAGATCATAGATCATATGTATATAAGATTATGAAAAAACAAGATATGTATGAAATTTATTTATAATAAGAAAATGATAGATTATAATACAAGAAGGGGAAAGACATTTGGTGTGAGAAAATTAAAATAATGTTTTTTAAAAAAAACTATATTTTCGATGTTCAACCATTGATTTTTTTTTTAGGTGCCCAACTTTTAATATCTTTTTTTTCAATTTCAATGCCTAACTTTTGATTTTTTTTTTTTTTACTATTTGAGTGTCCACAGTTATCTTAGATCATAAGGTACTAGTGTGTTTGGAGTTGATTGTTACGTGGTAGCTCTTGTTGGACACGTAGCAAAATTGAATTTCAAGTGAAGTCGGACACCAAAACAAACAAAAAATTAAAACTTCGATAGCAAATCATTAGAAATCACTGGTTGGGCACCAAAATAGGAAAAAAAAAATCCAAGATTGGACATTAAAAAGCTTCTCTCTTTAATATTCCCCTCTTTTGACCTTTGTATGAAGTAGTGAAACATGCATGCTTCAATACATATGACAGTGGCAATAATGACATTGAAAATTTTGAATGATCTATTTGGTTGAAAATTAACTTCAAATTCTAGAGTATCTTGAATTTGTGACCACTTTAAGCTGAGTTCTTGGAGAAAAATTGCTTTGTTCATTCATTGGAACAACTTTGATTTATTGCATGCATATTTGGGGACAAACTAAAGCAATTATCTTCACCATTTTAAATCAAAAACAGTCCTTGGACAGCAAAAATTTGATTTGGTATATTTCATTCTCGTATACAGATAGTTTTAGGCGACAAAAGTGAGCAGAAGGCATTCAATTACACAGGAATCACTTGTTTCAACCCTGGATCCTTCTCAAATGACAACACCTTTGTAGCATATCGTCCTTGCACCCAGGAAGTAGAATTTTCAGCCTTGTGAGTATCAAAAAAATATTCTTTAGCAGACGAATATGCTTACACGAAGTCGGCAAAACCACTTCATGTCATTGTCTCTTCAGATGGGTCAATATTGAAGTTCATAACTACAAGAACTAATTTGCCCCATCAGTCACATGTAAAGTATTCTAGGCAGCTCATTAGTGTGTTAAAAGTATATTGCTTTGTTTATTTGATGTAAACTATTTGTCGGTATAAACTCTGCTGGTCAAAATGTATTAATATTTCTTGTTACCAAGAATCAATGTGACTAACCACTTCAACATGTTCCCCACTAGCGTTAAGATTTTACATCAAGGCATTCTTTTGGAGTTTATCATTGTTTTTTTTCCGGCTCTATCTTAGTGCTCTCTATGTTTTTTTTTACCATGTGGTCCTGTTTTATTATTTCTTGGATTCATTTCTTTCTACAAGCTATGACTTCTTTCCCTTTCTTGTCGATCAGTATTTTTGGATCTTATTCAGTTTATTTTCTGTTTTTCTCCAATTGGTTCCTGCTACTTTTCTAGGATCATTTAGTGGATTCCTATGTATTTCATGAAGCCATTCCTTGCAATTTCCCAAGTTTCTGGGATTTTGTTCGTTGCTTAGGTTTGTTATGTGTTCCATAAGATCATGCGTTAAAATAACCCCATATTGCTCCCACCTGTGGTGGTATGACTTTCTGTTAATGGTCATTTTAATTGTTTCTCTTAATAAGCCTGAATTCCTTGACCTTAATTGGACAGATTTAATGTCACTACTGAAAGTGCATTGTACTGCGTACATCCGAAATGATCGTAAGTAGTCGGCTTATCAATTTAAATTTTTATCTTATTCATACCCATAAAAAAATCACATTATAAATATTCATTTATTCATATACCAGTTTATATTACCAAAAATATCGTTATACATTTTATTTTAGTCCCTAATAAGTTTCAAAAAAATTATTTTGGCCCTCAAATATTTTTTTATATTTTGGTCTTTTATTTATAAGTTTTTTTAGTCCTTAAGTTATTTAAAAAATATATTTTGATCCTTAGCATTTTAAGGTTGTGCAATTAGGTTTTTATATGTTAAAAAAATTCAAAATAAATTAGTAGATATTAGTAGGATACGTAGTGGGTACGCATATTCTAAAATTATATCAATTGGTATATATTTTGTTTTTTATTTGTATTTGTTTCAGTATATATTAAATATTTTTAATTGATATTTATTGAGTTAAGCAGAGAGAGAAGCGCATTATATTCGGCACGTTGCAATCCTTATCAAGCATGGTTCATTGAATCGAGTCGCCCCGGCTCTATCCCCATCCCCAATATATTCTGCTTGGCCAGCAGTTGAATGCATTTCAAACCTGTATGGCCCATACTTTTGCTGAAACCCGCAGTCTGGGGTTTCTGCGATGAGAACTTGAACTTTCCGTTACCATTCACTAAGTCAATTAGCGTTCAGTTTAATTAATTATTCTTTTTTTCTTATTTGAAGCCTAGGAAGGGCTTGGATGGTTTATTATATCTAGAATGTGGAGGGATCTATGTGGTCCTAAAATTCCTTATCAAGTAATTAAGTCACTAATTTTGATCTATCTAATTACAATACAGGTTCATATGCACTTTGTCCACTTAATTACATCCATCTCAACTATACCTTTCTGCAATATATTGCATTGGTGATGGATATTTGATCTATATAGTGCTTTTTTTTTCCTCTTGACGATAGAGGTTCTATCCTTGAGCAAACTTTGTTGGCTTGAAATGCTTTTGTCCTTGCACTGCCAAGGTCTTCTTTCCTTTACTATCCTTTAGCTGCTCAGTAAAGAAATGGAAGGCAAAGCTAAAGGATTATTATGCTAATCCTAACTGTATCTTTGATGAGCAGAGAAACATTTAGGAAGTGAATGGGAAATAATCTATTTAGAACAGACAATTGTCTTCCAATCCTTATAAATCATCACCTACCACGGGCGAATTTCTTATGCATCAACAGGTGTTTCAGTCATAGCACTTCACTTTACATTTTGCATCATCGATATTTGACCGATATGGCAACAAACTCAGACATTGTGACGAATGTTAGACTTTTAGATGTTCCTTTGTTTACACGCAGAACTTATATAATAATTTCCAGCTTTGTGGAATAAACTGTTGCGTAGATTTTGACAATTCGAACTCTGATCATGAAAATTGCCAATGGAGAGAATGTGTCGCCATTTAAGTGGCTTGTGCAGCGATTGCAGCCGCACTCACAAATAGTGTTGAAGATTATAGTGATGCTTTTCCCTTGTGATCCCCCCAGCTAGAGAGGGTTACATGGATATAACCTCTGCCAGTCAAATTTAAACAAGACTAAATGCTGCAATCATCTTAGACTTTTGAGTTTATACCCTCAATCAACACTTCAGCCGAAAGACATGGTTTCAGTGCTTTTGTTCTTTATGCTATTGATATGCTTTCCTACTTCATAGCGTCTAAGTTTTCTTTAATATCAAGCGAATATCATAGTGGGAACTCTATTTATATACTATTTAAAAATGGAGGATTATGTTCATTTTGCAAATATCACCTTCAGATGCACTTTCTTGTCGGTTAGATTACAACTCGAATGTATAGTAGATGAAAGAGTGTCAGATTATTTCTGTTTTCCGAATCTAACGGAACATGTGCCGATATCCTTTGATCCTTGTCCTTGAGGCATGTATATATCAAAAGGCATGTGGTTTTTATTAGAGAATGCAAAGGTGTTATATTCCATCAAGGTTAGTGTACAAATTAATTTAAAGGAATGTATACATTCCAACAGTTTGATATTTACATCCCTCTCTTCTACCTAATACCCTTAAGCTCAAAAGTAAGTTGTACTCAAAGTTGCATTTTCTCATGCTATTTCTACTTTCAGCAACTAAACAAAGCCTTTTTCTTCAATATACTTTATTTTATCAACATGTCGTCAAACAGTGAAGATAGTGTGGAGAAAGAGGAAATAGATGACAATGACTGGAATAAGATGAACAGAAGGGAGAAAATATTAGCAAAAGGGATGTTAATAATACATGGTTTGGCATTGGCTGGTAGGTGTACTCTTCTTGTGTTAAGCTAAAGATACAAAAGAAAACCACTTCAAGTTGTTCGGAAGCTGGCTATTTGGCAGTTTTTATAGTTGAGCAGTTCATAGATGACTTGTGGTCCCAGAAACCGTTAATCCCACTTCAGGTAATTAGGTGTCAAATCATATTACTAATAATCAATTATATCAGGCAAGGAAAGAATATCCAACGGCCTTGATCTTGCTACCCAAATTGAGAGGTCTGCAGTAATTACCCAAAAAATATAGCAAAAGTGTTAAGTTTTCATCAATTAGATGTCCCATAACAACATTCTCCGCAAGACCAACCTGGATACTCAACCTGATAATTAGATGCACAAAACAACTAATTAACGAAATAGTTAGTACCTTGTCACAGGGTTTGATTTGGTAACCAACTAGGGAAGGTCTTTGCACGACGAACAACTAGAACTAGAAAAAGAATATATTCATCGAGTTGAGAAGAGTTTTCTTTTGGAATTGAATGATATTCCTCTTTCTGGTTAGAGACTGCTGCGACAAGAAATTGTACAGGTGGGAGTTCTCGTAAGCATGCAAAGTGTACGAAAATTTCAAGTTCCCCTAGAGACAAAACTAACTCTTGGGGATAAGGAAAATCTGTAATGGCTAAAAGAGTGAGTAGGTAAAACAGGTGAACAGTCAAGAAAGATGTCTACATATGAAACAATTTAGGGCTTTAGGCTATCAGTAAATATTTTTTTTTTTTTTTTAAACATATCAGTGATGCCATACATGCATGAACGTTGGACCTGGACTTGTATAGACTCTAGCATCCACTTACTATGATGATTTGGCTCCATGTGGATAGTTTTGTGAGTTCCTAGGGATACCATTTTAAATTTGTACAGGTCAGAAGACAGAAGACGAAACACGAAAGAGAGAGAGAGAGAGTTTTTCACAGGTGAAGAAAACGGCTGAGTCAGTAGATGCGAGTCACCAATCTCCTGGGAAGGGGGTTTTCCTCATGACATAATGGTGGGTGAAAGATGGGAGATGGCTTTCCCTCAGTACTTTTTTAACAAGCAATTCTCCTACTTGGAGAATGGTAGGCCAACAGTCAACAGAAGACTCCTGTCCTTATTAAATAACATTGCCAACTGATGAATTTTAAGATCATGATGATTCGAAATGAAGGCTAAAGCTAATTAAAAAAGATCGTGAAGTACAATCTTAAAAAGAGGGGTTCTCCGTAAAATTAATGTTTTCGGGCGTTAGGCTTCTTAATTAATTCCTGGATTATTATCATCAGAAATGGGGTTTAGCATCTAATATATATAGGAAGTTAATGTTTAGTCATAGCTATATATATATATATATATATATATATATATATATATATATATGATGATACATGAAAGCGAAGCAAACAGAAGCGGTTTCTCTTTGCGCTAACTCAACTGACAACGTGCATTGCCAAGAAGAGTCTATTGGTTGATCAAACCAACAGCCTAATTGCTATGTTGATGGATTATCAGAACTTGACCCCAATGAAAGGAGTTTTTGGAATGGCTTATTAATTTGTTGGATATTAAAATTAATCTTGAATCGGTTCATATTTTCAATTTTACAATTTCCTTCATTCTCAAATAGATAAATAATTAGATTTTTTATTTTGATATACTATGTTATTTTGTCCGTCTACCAAAATAGTTTAAATAAAAAATGAATAAAAATTAATTTAACTGACTATTCTTTATATTTTTTTATAAATTTTTGATTAAAAAACATTATTTATTTATCTCTACCCACAAACTAAAATTTTTTTAATAGTATAAAGAATGTTAGAATTAATGGGTTCTTAGCTAAAAACTTATTTCATAATTTTTTTAAAACATTTTTTTGCCTTAAAATTTTTGATTAAAAAAATCAAAGAAAAAAAGACCAAAAAAAAAAAAAATCAGAGAAAAAAGTACCAAAGTGAAAAAAATAAAACAAAAAAGAGGGATCAAACCAAACAAAAAATATTTATGGATTGAAAAAACAATATTTTAAAAAAAAGGACTAAAGCATAATGTTATGAAAAAATTTCTTAACTTTTTTTATTAAAAAAAAGAGAAAAAGGGACCAAATTAAAAAAAAATCAAAGAAAGAGGGATCAAAGTGATCAAAATAAAATAAAAAAGAGGAATCACAACCAAACAAAAAATATTTATGGATTGAAAAAAATATATTTTTAAAAAGATCAAAATATAATATTACGAAAATTTTCATAATAAATGATTAAAAAATGTTATTGTATAGTGAAAGGAATAATACATCTGAATCTATATAAATAATGTATCTAAATATGTATAAATAGTATTTCAAATAGTGAATTATTATTTTATTTTAGTTTTGTTGATAATTTACCATTAATTTCCTTGAATCTGTAGTCTTTCTTAAGAAAAGAGTGAGGCAGGCGTAATTGACGCATTCTTGGCTTTGCTGACATTTATTCAATATGGGGTATGATTTATCAACTTTTACCTTAATCCCTAGCACCATTTTTTTTTTTTTTGGAAACTGCTAGATAAAAATATTTAAAGAAAATTTGGAAGAAAAAATAGTTTATGTTTTTTTATGAATATAAAAAATTAGTTTGCATTGGACACACACAAAATGATATATATATATATGCGCCATGCTCTGAAAGAAAATGCTTAGCCTATCATAATTCAGGTTGGCTATCATGAGGTGTTGCTTCATGGAATTTTTCTCTTTTTTAACGACACTAGAGGTCCTTATAATATCAATTAAGACAAATAAATCCTTATAGGTTCTATTTGGACAATCGGATTTTATGGTTTGGCCGGTTAGGCAGTAGAGATTTTTTTCATTGATAGTCAACTTATATATATATATATTTTTATTAATTTTGAATTTAAAAGGATATGAGACCATGTGTCAGCTTTGTATTGGTTTCAATTTCAAAAAAAATTGTTTAAAAATAAAAAAATATGTTAAATATTTTGGCAAATTTTATTTATTTGTTGCTAGAAATTAATTTTGGAATTTTTAATGTACATTATATTTTTTAAATTAAATTGAGAAGAAAAATAAATAAATAAAATGAATATATATTTTTTTAATTTATGTTGGACTTTTTTTTATTTTTTTATTTCATATTCTTTTTTTATATAGCTGAGTTTGTATTTTATTTTCAAAATCCAAAGTTTAATTAACATTAGGAAAGATATAAATTTTATGTAAAAATTATAAAATCTAAAACACATATAATAAAAAATTAAATTATAAAAATCATACCTACGAAAAATGCACAAAGTGAATCAAGTATGTTTCATCATTAAATCGATAATTTTATCCTTCGTTAATGAAATAAAAAAAATTAAGTAACACTTTTTTTAAAGTAAAAAATTAAAAAAAACAGAAAAAAAATCGTTTTTTTTTAAATAAATAGTTAGCTAAAAAATGAAAAATTATATATATATATATCTAGCATAAATTAAAAAAATAATTAACCAAAAATGTTAATTAATCAATTTTTTTAAATCTTTTCAAAATAAATTAAAAAATTTCTGACACAAATAAAAAAATTCAAAAAATAATTTTTAGTAATAAATAAATAGTTGGCAAAAAATTTTAACATTTTTTTATATGAATTTTTTAAATATTTTTAACCATTTTTTTTTATTGAAACAATAGAAAGCTGAAACTCGTCCCCCCATATCCTTTAAAAGTCAAAATTAAAAAAAAAAAAAAGGTTGATTATTGTTAGATAATATATCACACATTTAACAATTAAACCAAAAAATGATTAATATATAAAATTGAGAAGTGATCATCCAATAAAAAAAAACTTAAGTCTTTTAGATAAAATTTAATCTCAACTATCTAATTTTATATATAATATTAGAATCTCAAAGAATCCTAACCGCTAAGCAAAAAATTTAAAGCTCAAGCCACTTGATAGATTTTAAAAAATGGACTCGTAAGTGAATGAAAGTGTTAAAAAACATATTTCATATTGAATAGTTAAATTAAAAGCTAATTAATATAGAAAATTGAAAAATGACGATTCACCAAAAGACTATAATTATAAATAAAAAGATCTCTATTGTCCGCGGATAAAAAAAATAGAAGCCTTTTTTCACTTTTGTTTCATTGTATTTTTTATTATGATACTCCATCACGTATATATGTAAACAGTACATTATATATATATATATATATATAAAGAACATTATATGTGTATTAATATTGTACCAAATACAGAGAAATTAGATCAATATATATAGAGTAGATCAATTGGAAGGCAATAAGCGACCGACCATACCATTATAAGGTTAGGATGGTTTTTAGTTGAAATTAAAGCCATTCTAGTATTAGGATCACTAGCTAGGAAAGACTAGATGTTTGACTCAAAACAGCAGTACTGTAGTCTTCCACGTGCACTCCTCTAGTTGTAAAGCTACAACGTTAGTTAATTTAGGTCTGGAAAGTGATCAAAACCCTGAAACCTAAATAAATACTAACAAATTATCAAACATTTTTATTATCACAAAGTCTTTAACAAGATTACCAACCTCTTCTCTCCCAAAGTACATTCGACAATCAGCTTTTAATTACTTAACCAGCCAACTCCTTCTTTTTTTGGGCTAGATATATAGCTAGGGTTTTGGATAGTACTACATTCTCATTAATTAGGGTTAATTATATTAGGGTCAACTTAACTTCTGTTTAATTAGAGTTATTAAGGAATTATATATTTATCCTCATAAATATTTAAGCTTTTTTTTTTTTTTTTTAACTAGATGTTGTAATTAATAGCAAGGAGTATGTATATAATAAAAACTTAGAAAATTAAAAAGAAATGCTAGGTGGGTTATAAGTAGACGTTGTAGGTTAGAAACTTGGGAAGATGTTGAAAGCAGAACGAAATTCACCCCACCAAGCAACCTCACTCTCTCCCTTTCTCTCTCTCTCTCTCTCTCTCTCACGAAGATATGTGTATAGGTGATTACTTATAAACGTTTGTTAGCCTAGATGTTGCATCAATCGCTGGTAGAGGTCTGTCCAAACCTTCCTACTCTCTAACGGATCGAAAACACCTCTCTTCTCCCTACCTCCTTATATTCTCTTTGGCATCAACCTCCTTCATCTCTCCAATCATCTTGTTTGCCCTATTTTTAAGTACTACTCTTGCTAACCAATCAAACCATCTTCCTCCTCTATAGTTACATGTTTGTGTTTATGTTTCCCTAGCTCTTCTTTGCTTTAGCAAGAAGGTACTGCAAGAATTGAAGGAAGAGAGCTCTTGTCTTTGAATTGAAGTCGTACTACGTACTATAGCTAGCTAGGGTTCATATATATCTTCAAGTTTAATTTCTTTTTGGTTCTTCGGATTGGATTCTTTATTTGTTGTATTTCGAAGATCAAATATGTGTACTAGAGGCCATTGGAGGCCTGCTGAAGATGAGAAGCTTAAGGAGTTGGTTGAAAAGTATGGTCCTCATAATTGGAACGCGATTGCCGAAAAGCTTCAAGGAAGATCAGGTGAAAGTTTAAACCAAAGTAACTAATTGTTAATATCATGATTGTTTTCGTTTTAATGATTTTCTTTTATATTGTTATTTAGAAACAACTAGGGTTTGGTTCTGTATGTAAAAGTTGAAATATTCTTATAACTAAAGGAAATTAAAAAGCGAAGCTAACCATGACTATGACTATGACTAGTAACTAACAAAAAGAAGTTCGAACAAATTGAATCAGGGAAGAGTTGTAGGTTGAGATGGTTTAATCAGTTGGATCCGAGAATCAATAGAAGCCCTTTTACAGAAGAGGAAGAAGAAAGACTTCTTGCTTCCCACCGGATTCATGGGAATAGATGGGCAGTCATTGCAAGGCTTTTCCCTGGTCGCACCGATAATGCAGTGAAGAATCATTGGCATGTCATCATGGCAAGAAGATACAGAGAAAGGTCTAGGCTTCATGCAAAAAGAGCTGCTCAAACTTTGATAAATGAGCAAAAACCCTCTTCGAGACAAGACATGCACATGAATTGTGAGACGAGGAACTTCTCTTCATTTGTCAAGAAATATTGTGAAAAATATGGCCAATATCCTTTGGTCACTCACAGCTACTTACCGGCCTTTTGCAAAGAGTTCTACAGTGAAGATCCAAATCATTGTGAAGGTAAATAGATCGAGCTAACATCATGATCATGTACTACTGTACAGCTAGCTTCTGGTTTTATAATATTGATAATTTCTTAGTTCTTAATTATTACTCATGTTCCCTATATATATATATATGGTAATTGCAGATCAAAATCGGCCGATTGAGTTTTATGATTTTCTCCAAGTAAACACTGACTCCAATAAAAGTGAAGTAATAGACAATGCAAGAAGAGACGATGAGGAGGTAGATCAACAGGAAGCCATGGAACATCAGAGCATGGGTGGTATTCCGTTCATTGATTTTCTCTCTGCTGGAAAATCTTCGTAACACAGCTTGGTGGTGTGTCCAATGAGTGACCAGCAAATGAACAGTAAGCATACACCTAATTAGTAACTCATTCTTGTACACTAGCTAAAACTGCAATATTGACCAAAGAAATATTTAAGGATCAGAGAAACATGTACGTAGCATGTAGGGAATATTGCATATATATAGAAAAGCTCTATGTACGTATAGCTAGAGATCGAGAAACCAAGTTTTATACAAGTTGCTAATGTAAATTAAATGTCAAAATCTACCTTTGTTGAAGTTTACCATCTAGCACTGTAAAACCACATCACTATCTATGGAGTGCAATTCCATATATACCAACGCAGATTACTTTCTTTGCCTTTGATGATTGAAAGGAACATGCAAACAAGAGTTAGAGTTGATAATAATCAGTATAATATATATATATATGTGTGTGTGTATATATGTATGTATGTATGTATGTATGTATATGTCAAAATCTACCTTTGTTGAAGTTTACCATCTAGCACTGTAAAACCACATCATCATCTATACAGTGCAATTTCATATATACCATTAATGCAGATTACTTTCTCTACCTTTGATGATTGAAAGGAACTTGCAAACAAGAGCTAATAATAATCAGTATAATATATATATAGCTTCCCATTTCCTAATAGATTCGATCTGTTATTCCACGATTGCTTAATTAGTAGTTCATCGATCTTCTCTTTGCAAAGCGATATGATTTTAGTGTATTCTGTTTCTCTCTTTTTTTTTTTTTTTGCAAATTAGTTATACTTGTTGTTAGAAAGTAATATAAAAATCTTTTGAGAATAGAAATTTAAAGGTTTAACTTTTTAAATTGAAATGATTCCTTAAAAGCACTTACATATCTCAATGCGAAGTTGAATTCTAACTTCTAGGGAATTCTGGCGCGATTTTTTTCCCCAGTACGTAGTTTATATATAAATGCATGTATTTTTTTTTCTGATCCCTAGATTAAGAAACCTGTGAAAATATAATTAACATTGTAATTCCGCATGGAACATGCATGGAATTTGCATGGCTTCAGTTCGAGTGCAACTACAAGGAAATTTATGGGAAGAAAAGATGAATATTTTCATTTTGTATATATTGGGAGATTATATTGTTTAATCTCTGAATTCCTAATAATTTCAATACTTTGCTTGTATCAAAAACTCAAACAATTAAACTGTTGGGTAAAAGTTTAGAAATAATTTTATATTATTTTCTAATAGCTTGTTAATTAGGATGATCATTTGATGTGACACTATAATTATAATAATAATGTTGAATTAATCCGGGTAGTTTCTAGAAATAGACGGCTCTTTCCTTATGAGGTCATTAATTAAGACCCCTGACGTTCTTCATATATATATATATTCTCAACATCCATCAACTTGATAGAATATGAGAACAAGAGAGATGGAAACGAATAAGCCTTCGACTTCTCGGTGTTCATTTTATGGAATTGTGATTGTATAGAGAGTATCTGTCTTTGGCAACACTGATTTATGTCTCATGAATTCTTGATGCTTTAACTCAGTTTTAATTTTGTTTTAACTTTAAATTTATGGGATATATTGAACTTCATCGTCACTTGTAAATTCTTCTGGAGGGGCAATAGTACTTTTGTGCCTTTGTAGATGGGATATATCTTGAACCTCATCCTGACACTAAACAACAACCAATTTGTTTCAGAAACCTAAATTTCGAACATTAGATGTATAGTTCAAAAGTTTTGGCCATTTGTTTATTTATTTTTTATTACAGAATTTTGGTAATTAGGAATATGGCTGGGATTGCAATAGACGCAGAACTTACAAGAGCCAATAATGCCATCAAAGATAATTTCACAATCTGATGTAACTTGTGAAAAACGACTCGATGATCTTGACAGGACTTATAACTACCCAATACAAATCTGTCTCAGCTTTAATATCTAGATCATTGAAATTAATGAAATATCGGTGAAAATTAAAATAATATTTAATTAGCCTAACAGGTTATACATTAGATAGATATGTGGATCGAACAGTTTGATACATTGATGTTTCATTATTCTGCTTGATATGTGACAAGGTCTTAAAAATAATTTACATTAAAAACGAGAATGATGAAAATTGAATTTGTAATCTTTTAATCATCAAGATTATTAAAGATATATAAATTTATTGACCAGATGTTTAAAGCTCCTCAAGGAACTGTATAATTTACTGGCGTGATGCTTCTATCTTTTTGATGCATGAAGAATTAATTAATTCGTCAACATCTACGAGACAGTGGCTCAAACCTGCTACCGAGCTGTACGAAAAGGGAAAAACAAGAAATCAACTATGAGTTCAAAACAAATGAACGAAACATAACAATACTACAATACAGCCTGAAAATTCCAATTGCAATACAAGACAGCGCACACACATGATTAAACGAGCTAGCATTCTGCAGAAAATTAGCTTAGTTTTGTGCAGCCTAAGTTAAACAAATTACTCATCAAAAAACAAATTAAACTGATCATAACCATCTCGCCTTTAGTACTGCTTTAACGCTGATTCTTATGATTCCTTCTCTTCCTTTCTTTCCTCACAACCTAGAGGAAAGAACACGAAGCCAGCCTAAACACAACTGATGAAAGGCATTTTTTCTGTATATTTTGCTTGGCCCAAGTAAACTCTGGATGCCAATCAACTACTTGCTGCACATCTGTAAAACATGCTGCCCAATCTCCAGTGTATAGCGAGGCAAGTGACAAATTGTCAAAGGACCATATCATCGAAAAAAAGGAAGCTGATACAAATCCTCTGACATACCTCTTTAAATGAAAACCCAAAACTTATAAGCTTTGATACTATAATAAAAGACAATCTCGTTCAAAAACTTAAATTATTAGATGAGATCTCATGATATGATTTATATTATTCTTTAATATAAATTGATGACTATGATCCTCTGGAGCTTGATAACATAGTGAACATATAGGATCAATATTCCTGCCCAAATGCATCTGCGTCAGTGTATTATAGCCAAAACCTTTTTATCATGTTTTTCTCTCCAAGTGGCTTCTTTTGCCTGTTGGAGCTGTTAATGATGGAATTGGAACCGGAACTGGAACTGGTTTAATCATCGTCCTCATCATCAAACCTCTACTTCAATAGTTTACTAGTTATCATTTTTTTGGTGGATGTGTCCATCATCAATTCACCATCTTTTTTTAATTTCTTTATCTGTTTATTATATATCTATTAATTTACTCAAGCATCTAGAAGCCGAGAGAAAACACAGGTAGGCGCAGACACAAGCACATGTAAAAATGGACATCATATCATATCATATCAATATTCTAGCTCTTATTACGCAGCATGATCTCATATTGGATTGAAAGGTTAACAACCTCTAATCACTCAAAAATTTGACTAGAATTCTCCAATATGTCCAGTGCAGTCATATATCTGTTGATGATTATTCCCACTTGTTCATTTGTTAGTGATCAATCCGTTAATTAAATATTCTTGACCTTGATCCAAAGTGATGTATGTCTAAATGTCATCCGCTCATAGGAATTTAGTCAACTGAACTTGTTCTAAAGTGATGGACGATAAGACAAGTTTTATTTTAACTTAATTAATCTACGTTCTTGTATAAAATAATAAATTGGCCGTATATATGTTGTTAACTGGCGTTCAAATACTTCCAAAAAATAAAAAATTTTTGGCTTTGTTTATTTTGCTTTAAGGGGATAAGAGTTAATAGAGGTTTTAGAGTTTCTACTTAGTATTTAAATGAACTAGAAAACTTAAAAGAGACATTGAATTCAAAGATTTCGAATGAGAACTTGGTTATGCATTTGAAAAGAATATTGATCACCAAAAAATATTATTCTGTGAAAAAAGATACCAAGCTTGGTTTAATGCTAAAAATATATATCTCATAATAATTAATTTTGCCAAATTATTCTTAAGTCTATTTCCAAATTTGCTTATTGTCTAAGTCTAATTATTTTTTATTATGGCATTGTATTAAATTGACACTCGGGTTCCAAAATCAAGAATTTTGTCAATTTAGCATCGGATTCAATGAATTCTTGATATGATGGACATGTTGAGGAAAAACCTAAATAACTAATGATATTTGATTTGTATTTACCTTTGTTGATTTTTTTCTCTTTTTTGGTTTTGTTTGTTTTTTTGAACGAGGTGTCGAGACTAACGCTCATCCCTACTAAATATGAGACTCATTAGGTCGACTTGAATTTCCTACTTATCCTAAAAGGATGTATTTTTAGTATGATGAATTTGATGAAGGATCGTCATTAGTGTTTAGAACATAGGAAACTTGACTATCTCTCATCTAAACAAGTAAAAGCATCACATTAAAAGATTATAACGAAATTAAAAATAAATTACAAATAAATAGAAAATAAATTTAAAAAATGACAAAAAATAAAATACATATGGAGAATTAGCGTGGGCATAAATCCTTAAAATTTTAGATTAAAATAACCAAAGGATATTAAGCATAAAAATTAAATTCTAAAACTAATTACATTCATTAATAATTAATATGGCGAGTTGAATGATAAATAAATTTTAAATAAATAGCAAATAAAATCATAAAATTGCAAAACTTAAAACCAAAAACTTGAACAAACACATGTGCAAACTCTAGGAGTTTCATATTAAATAATGAAAGATACTAGAATTAAAAATTAACTATCAAAATAAAATGCATTAATAATTAAGGTAAATGGCAAAACAAAGATAGATACTAAATAAATATAAAATAAACTCATAAAATTATGAAACTTGACATAGACTCTATGTACAAACACATAAGTACATCCTAAAAATTTCAGATTAAAATGAGATTAAAAGTTTGAACAAATAATTAAATCTCGTAAATAATCTACACTAATAATGAAAAAGAGGCAGAATAATAACTAAATAGCAAATAAATGGTAAATAGAATTCTAAAATTATGAAACTTAAAATACATGTCAAGAACCAACACATGAACAAACCTTAAAAATATCAAATTAAAATAAAATTAAACAGTGAGCTAAATAATTAATTTGCATAATCAAACTACACTAATAATAAAAATAGGGTAGAATATTAAATAAATCAAGAATAAATAATAAATATACTCTTAAAATTATGAAACTTAGAGTGCATGCTAGGTACTAACATATGAACAAACTCTAAAAATTTTAGATTAAAATAAAACTAAACGAGTGGGTTAAAATAATTAAATTCCTTGAACAAATAACAATAATAATTAAAAATAAGGTAGAATGTTAAATAAATACTAAATAAATAGTAAATAGACTTCTGAAATTATGAAACTTAAAAAACACATATCATGAACGAATATATTAACAAGTGCTACAAATCACAAATCAAAATACTCAAGGTAGGTCGAGTAAAAACAAGTGAAGATCGAAACTAACTCTAGGATTAAAACTTTGTCAATTTTACCCCCGAATCATTCACATTAACTACCTAGTCGTATAAATCTTGTAAGTTTAAGAACCAAAATTTAAAACAAAATTTCAACACCTTTTTTCCTTAGGAAACGAACAAAAACTCGAAACTACATTAAAATGTATCCCCCATTTTCTTTGGTTTTTGTTGGTTTTAACCTCTAAAATTTCACTCTCTTCTTCACATAGCTATGATTTTTACTCTAAAATTGTTTCCATTCATTATTTTCAATTTAGGAGAAGCTTTTTAGAGAGAGAAAATAAAGCTGTGGATGAGAAATTTTTACCCTTATGAAGCTTTAAATGGACATAAACTATGTAGGGATGATTTGAAGACCAACTTTTCTTCTTCCTTTTTTCTTACTTTCTCCTACAAACTCAAGTTGCTAATGTTGTTCTAGTTCTCGGCTTCCTCTTCTATATCTCTTCCTCGATGCCTTTTTTTTTTTTTTTTGTAACTAGTGGAAAACCTCCCTTTCACACTCTAGTTCTTTGTTTCTTCGTTCCCTTAAGCTACTCGGAGACTATAGCTAAATTCCTAGCTGAAGTAAAACCCTAAAAATCTCTCTTTCCTTTTCCCTTCTTTTTACTAGTGTTTATTGCTTCGTTTATATACTAGTTTTCCTTTGATCTTTATCGTCCATTCCATTTGAAATGATCTTGGCCTCCCTTTTTTTCGACAACTAGGCTCTCTTCTCTTTGTTTGTACACTTGTGGAGGTTTTTTTGGGCAATGTATCTTACCACCAAAGCCTAGGGATAGAGTGGGGACTTTTTTTTTTTTTCTTGGTAAGAAGGGAGTGTATTATGGGGTAGGCTCACTAGGATAAGTTTTTGGATGGGTTAAGGTGATAGCTATGAGTGGAGGGGTTACCTTTGAACGATGTTGGTTTTGTTTTTTTCGTAGGAGGGAGATGATGAACAAGGTGCGAGAATTGGAAAATGGGGACAACAAATGACAAGTTGTGTAATAATCGAGTACTGTTTAAACTAAAATTAAGTAAAAAAGAAATTATTAAATATTTAAAAACATATACAAGATATTTTGAAGACATAAAATAGTTCACAAAGACTTGAAAGAATATTTGGAGTAGGTAAAATAGCTTTTTTATGCTCAATGAATATTTTATTGATTTTATGATGCATGAATAGTGATTTTTGGGCGAAATAATTATTTTGAGCATCTTGTGTGTGCAAGAAAATTTTTTTCTTTATTTAGAATATTTGTTAGAGGGGTGTTAAATTATTTTATGTAATTGTGTGAATTTTATTATGTGCTATGAATATTTTATTTGAATTTTGATGTGTTGAAATAATGTTTATAGAGGTAAAGAATAGGCACCTTAAGAGTATAGAATAAGACGTGTGAGAGTGCCTAGAATATTTAAATTAATTTTATTAAGTATGGAGGATATTTTTAATAGGAAATGGTATAATTTTCACACTAAATAATTAATTTAGAGTCTCAAATGAGGTCCAAAAATTATAAAAATTTAAACTAAACTACCTTAATAAATGTTTAAATTTATTATAGAAAGAAATTGGATTTTTGAAGAGGATAGAGCAGAATTTTAAAAGTAGGGACTAAATTGTATAAAACTATTTGTTGCCAAATATTCACTTTGGTCTTGTTGTCCGCTTGTCTCCTTCAATTTCGTCCCTCCGTATTTCAATTTTCTTAATTATATCCCTTGAGTAGGTTATTTTGGTCTTTTTAGATTTAATTCTTTCCAATTAACTCTCAATTTCTTCCTCATTATTCTTCAAGATTTTTGGTATTTGTGTATCCATAATATTTTTCAAATTAATTGCAATTGAAACCCTAGAATGTGAAATTAACTCCTATATTTTTTTTTGCGTTTTCTTTTCTTTTCTTTTTTTGTTTCTTTTTTTTGTGACAAAATGATTAATTAAAAAACAATTAAAAGCTAATGATAAGACAAAATAAAACAAAAATTTGTGGACACCTACATTATATAGTTAAAATATAAAATAAAATATAAAATAATTTTTTAAAAATAAAAGGAATTTCTAAAATAAATATGAAGGTCCACAATTGGGTTGTAATAGTTGTCTTTTTTTTACAATACTTATGGTGCAAAGCCATTGAAAAACAATGAAAAAGGTGTTTTTTTTGGTGACTTTGCATAATAAGCTTGTAAAAACATGTTTTTTTTATGATGATATTGATAGTTCTATTCTCGTGGGCGATCAACCCTTTTTAGTTGTTTTGCTCTCATGGACGACTCGCCATAATGGTCTTGTTCTTAAGGATTCGTGATGTTCTTGTTCGAAGGGCATTTTGCCCTAATGGTCTTGTTCTCAAAGATGATCTATCCTAAAAAATTATAAAAGATTTCAAACATATAAATCGTTTTGGTTGATTAACTTTGAAATTAAGATCGGAGAAACGAACAATCGATGGATGATCCAATAAAAAAAATATACGAATTGCTTTAGGTGACAATTTTTTTTAAAAAAATAAGATAAGAAAAACAAACATCTAATGAGTGATCCGATTAAAAAAGATATATGAATCATTTTGGGTGATTTTCTTTTCTTTTTGAGAACGAGATCAAAGAAACAAATCCTCGTTGAGCGATCCAATTGAAAAAGATATACAAACCATTTTGGTTAAGTTGATGAGATATTTTTTTTACAATGTATCAATAAAACTGATTGTAATGGTTACTTTCTTACCTATGAGAAATATAAGCTACACTTTGAAAACTCAACTTTCTTTTTGTCGGATTATTACTTGTTGAAGCTGAATCTAAACTATACTAGATCATTAGTTTATGGTTTGCTTGAGATAGCTTTATTGCCCCCTGGTTTGTTTGTTCTTAATTGTTTTGATTAACACTCAAGCGCTTACTTTCCGGGCTCTCCTTTCTTCGATAAGCTTTATGACATTGTTTATCCAATCATTGAACCTAATTCAAGTTGTGAGATCTTAGGTCTTACTCTTTAGTGTTCTCAATTTTTTAAATTACCATTTAGATTAAAACATGACATACTCCTAAGTACTGGTTGGCATTATACATTTGAAGCTCCCTTTGCACAATCACCGTTTATGTCCAACTTTCACCTTTTTATGCTTGTTTCTTCATTTGCTAATTAGTCTTGGAATTTTCATCATATTTTGAGAAAAAATCATTGAATAAAAATTTATTTTTTCATGACTTAAATCATGAACTTGAATAATTCTTTTAAATATAATTTAAATTATTTAAAAGAAATATATAGATGTTCAAATGAATGTGAAGGTGTCCGGGTTGGTTAGTCAAGAGCCAAAATATGACATTCAAATACTATGTTGCAATTTTCACAAGATGATTATGGTCTTTGGCTAGTCGGGAAAATATGTTTAGATTGTGCATAATCTTCTAGAAAAAATATGGTTTTTGATACTTTTAAAGGCAAATGGTCAAAATAAAAGTCTATTTTGGAGAATGAAAAGGCTTAAATAGAAAATATTTTAAAAATTTTAGACTTTAAAAGATAGTCTTGTCTCAAAATACCTTGATCTTATTTATTTCTTAACCCAACTTATTTGATGAAGTCTTATAATTTAATACCATAAGGGATGATAAACAACATGCCAACATGTCATTCTTCTACTTTTCAATATTTTTTTGCCTCTTTTCATCGAGCATAACAAATTTTCTTTGATCAAAAAGGGATTGTAAAAGCACATAATGTAGGTTAGAGCTTAAGCTTATAAAAGAATGTCCGTATAAAAGCACAAAAAAATGTTTAAGAGTCTTAAGACATAGGATCACTTTGTTATTTATAAAGATATTTTTTAGGAAAAGCCATCCTGGACTTTATCACTCTAGTTATTGATCTAGGCTTTTGTGTCATCTTGATATTCATGAGAATTGTTTTAGGCTTATTGTAGTGACTTTGTTATTTTGATTGTCAATTTTTTTCTTAGCATCAACTCTCGTTGTTTGTTCATCTAAATTTCAACTCCCATCTTGGCTTTTAATTTGTATTATGAATGCTTGTTTTACTTTCTCTCTCTGTTTTTTTTTTTTTTACATTTCCTTCGTTTTAGAATCATCGATAAGGTTCATTTGATATTTTTTTTTAAAGTTTCATTGACCATCTGTGGATTTCATATTGTACCCTTCTAGTATAAAGAGTGATCATAGTCGGAGTTATTGTGAATGAAATAATTAAGGCCTAAAAGGATATAACTATTTATGAAAAACATGAAAGATGACCTTTTTTATCTCAAAGATTGATTTGACTAATGCTCGATAAACACTAATCTTTTTTCCAAATAATGATTGATTTGGAAAACCCTAAGGTTAACCAAAGAGGAGAAATAATGAATGTAATTTGAGATCATGTTCAAAATATGTAATGTTCATCATTATTTAAGACATTAATCATTTAGTCTTTCAAATTTAGGCTTCATGAGGTTATCTTAGTAAATATTTTCTTCAAAGACTTATTTAGGAAGGAAAAAGTGTTTATTTTTAGTTTTCACAAAAGGAGGGATTATGTCATACTTTTTGCTCAAAAAACTTGTTAGGAAAAAAAAATTTATCATTTGCTTTAATAAAATAAGGGATTGCATGTAGCATTTATATGTCATGTTTTGAAATTTAATCAATTTTTTTAATCTTTTGAATAAATTTGTCATTATATTTTCTTGATTGAGGAAATTATAGTGTCAAATAACACTTTCAAATAAGCATCTCATAATTTCAAGTCAAACATAGAGAAATTATAAAAAAAAAACCATTGGAGCTATTTTTTTCATTCAAAGATAATTCCTAATTCATGCAATAAAAAATCATTTTTGGAAAATAATGTTTAAAATCTAACAAAAATTTAAAAAAATCATATTTACAAATTACGAGCAAGCATATTCACCATAACTTTTCAAGCTCACTTAATATCTTCATCCCTTGTATTGGTAACTATGTGGTTTGGAAGCGAGTTCGTGTCCACATTAGGATTATTTAGAGTACCATCGAAACTGATTTATCCTTGTTAGATTAAAGCCAATAACCTCTTCTAAAAAGCTACACAAGTATCAATACTATGCTAATAACGCCGAATCTTACTTACATCTTTTGTCTAGGTTTTACCATAGAGGATAAGGGGTTGCCTTAGGTAGGCTAGAGTTAGGGTGATTTATCTAATAGTTACTAAGCCTTCAAACATTTTAAGTAATGAGAAAGATAAATGGGGTAGCTATTCGTGATTCTTTTTGTACTCTTTATTGTTTTGATGGTAAAGAGTTATATGGTGTTTGTGGGTTGTTGAAGGGTTTCTAATTTTGCATTGAATACATATACAAAGGAGAAAAAGGTTTCCTATGTCTTTTAAAAGCCTATTCATGAGCCTTTAGAGGATTAACAAGGATATTAGACTTAATCTTAGAGACATCATAATAAAAATTCATCTTACTTAGACTTGTCTAAATCTTTCGCTTTTCCTAGAGCTATACCATGGTTTACTTTTCTTGCCACATTCATGAGATCATTAAACTAACAAGTAGGGCCACCACTCAAATATTCATAATATAGGGATCCTAGAGTACTAGCAACAATATCAACTAGTTCTAACTAAGTGAATAGTAGGCATGCTTGAATAGCCGGTACTCGCCATTTCTTGGAATATCTCTCTACCGATTCACTTGTCTTCTTTTCTCATGTCATAAAGGTTAACCTAGCTAAAAAATGTGATACCATTTAGAACTACTTATTTTTTCCCCTAATTAACCATGTCGGGACTACTTCCTCTCAAAATTGATTGCTTGAAGTTTGAGGTATATCCATCTTTCTTTGTTTTTTATTTTTTTCCATCATTGAGAAATTGATTTGACGTATCTATCTTAACCTCTTTTCCCTTTTAACCTCTTTATTAACTTGGAAATGTTCGATGAGGGTTTATTCATGAGAAAGATATGAAGAAAATACCATATACGGATGTGAAGCAT